AATTTTCTTAATAATGCCACAACACAGAGCACTTGTACAAATTGCCCTGAGAGAGATGTGTTGAAATTGTTATGAGACTCTTTTGCATTATTTACATCATGACGTTCTGTCAGTGCACTAATACTCAAGACTGTTTATATTTCTGGATTTAACAAGTATGTAAATCAGGTGCACATTTCCCTAGAAATGCAAATGTCTCTAATGAGGAAACACAACAAACTTCAAAACAAACAAACAAAAGAATAGAATATGGTAAATAGCTCATGTGAAAGAGGGAAAAGAAATGGTGCTGGAGTGTAGTGGACTAGAAATAGGGGGCTGTAATCCTTGCCCTGGGATTGTTTCATCAGCTCATCTTGAAGCTCTGAGAGATCAGTTGTTTCTAAGCAGGGAGAGCGCAGGGGAAGAACGGCAGCCAGGCCCAGTCTTCCCAGGAGAAGACATGAAAACTTCTGGGTTCCCTCTATGTAGCAATTTATAGAGCTGAGAAGATTGAGTTCCTCGCTGAATTTGTTAACTCCAGTCGAATACCACTCCAAAGGGCCCCAGCTCTCTGAAATACTTTTTTTTTTTTTTTTTAATATTGCAATAATTAAAATAGCTGTTTGATTCCAGTCTATAAGGACAGAATGGGAATAGCATCATGATGAATTGAGTTTGAGTATTACAGAAGGATTTGAATGTCCTTCAGAGAAGCATTCAGCCTGAATTTCATCTCAAAACATTCCCCTGATTTAGTAAGAATAAGTGATATCTTTGAATCATAATGCCCTAGATTGAGTGGGAATGTTCTTTATTGTGCTGTGATATCTTTGAATCATAATGCCCTAGATTGAGTATATGTATAGTGGGAATGTTCTTCATTGTGCTGTGGTTGTGCTCTGCTTTTTATTATGCATTGCTCACTGAAAACTTTATCTTCCATTAAAAGCTGAATTCCATTCAGAAGTGCAATTCAACAAAATTTGCTCACTAAAATAAGACATCATTTATTTCAAGCTGGCTTCTATTTTGAATTTTGATGGCTTCCTGCTAAATATGCAAGCTTTCTTTTCTGTGAAATTAGTTCAGTATCTGAAAATCTGAATTACTTGGTATTTTGGTTTTCATCATGTAACTTCAGCCCCAAAGTACCAGTAAGCATTACATTTCTTAATTAACCACCATCTTTAAGCAGATCATTATGGTAAAAGAAGTCGGAGTTCTCAAAAATCCATGAATTCAGAATAGTGTATGCCTAATAAGCGGGGTAAAATGTTTTAACCAACATTCCTCAGTAATTCTGTAACTGCATGTTATATGGAACAGTTGCCTTGTTCTGTCTGTTTTCAGTCTCTTAACTAAAAAATGTGCTCTGTGTCTGTTACAGGGGGAACGTCAGTTGGATTCTGTGCTGCGACAGCACCACGTTCATGAAGCCTCTGTCTCATTTGTCTCTGTCATTATGTACCTGCTCTTGCTTTAACACATTCGCAATTGTTTCTGCTGGCAAAGTTGACGGGTAAGGATCATTAGTAGTACAGCACAGCCACCTTGAAAAATGCTCTCTTGATTTTCCCGTGTGCTACTTAATCTGTCATGCAGATAGAGATATTAGAGTGCTAGAGAACAAGGGCTGTAAGCAAAATTATCTCCTGCTAAAATCTGTCCCAAAGTTATGCCAAATCCCCACATCCAAATGTCTACAAAAAGTCTAAAAATGACTTATTGGTAGTGTGTGCATGTGGTAATTCTCTGAAGATGAAAACACGGGGAGGCTACTTTGGCAGCTCTGACTTCTGTTAACCTGACTTCCATTGGGAAGAACAGGTTTGCAGCATCAGCTGCTGCACAATTTGTCTCTCGCCTCTTTCCCAGCATTACGCTCCCGACAGCTTTCTCCCTTTCCTTGCCTTCGAGTTAACACCCGCAGGAGGCGTTAGCTTTGTACTGCTTGAACTCTTAAACCTTGTCTCTGGGGGAGGGAGGAGGCTGTAATTACTGTGATCTTCTGGTGCTGATGGTGAAAGAAAACTCGATATTCACAAACCCCTCAGTAGAAGCTGGACTAGGACTTTTTACAATTGATACCTCTAATTGATACCTTGGCTAGGCCTCCAAGGGAGCGTGATTTAAGGGACTTTCTTAAAAATATTTTTCAGTAGATATACATTAAATTGACTTCTAAGTAGTGTACAATTTTTGTCAGTTAAAATGTTACCCAGAAATCTGAACTGTCAAGTGCCCTTAGGTCTTGTTGATTTGGAGGAATGTTTTAAGTACTACCAGAAATTATATGTATAGTGTAGAAAAGCAATCTTCAAATGTCATTGTAGCACAGAGTATTGTTTAAAAGACTCAGACCCTCAGTACGGGTGTATGCTTTACTCTACTCTTGTATGAAAACGTAAGAAAAAAGAATGCATGAGTAAAGAGCAGATAAATGCAGTAGTAGTAAACTTTTCTAGGGAGGAGAGAGCTGATGATTAGCTCTCCTTGCAATCCCAAGCACAAATACAGGTTGGGCAGAGAATGGATTGACAGCAGCCCTGAGGAGAACGACTAGGGGGTGTTGGTGGATGAGAAGCTCAACATGAGCCAGCAACGTGCGCTGGCAGCCCAGAAAGCCAACCCCATCCTGGGCTGCATCCCCAGCAGCACGGCCAGCAGGGTGAGAGGGGGCAGGGGGGATTCTGTCCCTCTGCTCAGCTCTGGTGACACCCCACCTGGAGCACTGCGTCCAACTCTGGGGCTCCCAGCATAAGAAGGACATGGACCTGTTGGAGTGGGGCTAGAGGAGGCCAGGGAGATGCTGCAAGGGCTGAAGCCCCTCTGCTGTGAGGACAGGCTGAGAGTGGGGGGTGTTCAGCCTGGAGAAGAGAAGGCTGTGGGGAGACCTAATAACAGTCTTCCAGTCCCTAAAGGAGCTCTAGGACAGATAGGGGAGGGACTCCTTGTCAGGGAGTGTAGTGATATGACAAGGGGCAATAGTTTTAAATATCCCCTCTTCCAGTTTAGATGAGATCTCAGGAAGAAATTCTTTGCTGTGAGGGTGGTGAGGCACTGGAACAGGTTGCCCAGAGAAGCTGTGGCTGCCCCATCCCTGGAGGGGTTCAAGGCCAGGCTGAAAGGGGCTTTGAGCAACCTGGTCTGGTGGGAGGTGTCCCTGCTCAGGGCAGGGGGTTGGAACTCAATGATCTTTATGGTCTCTTCCAACCCAAAACATTCCATGATTCCTTGAGATTTGCAGCTTTTTAAAAGAGAAGTTTAATGTCAGGAATCTTAATTGTGATGTTAAAAACATCCTCCACCTTGCATGTTCTCATGTTCAAACTACTCATTGGGAATATACAATAAATCAAAAATAACCAAAATGGAAGATGTAGAATGAAGCTTTCAGTAAAGAAAAAAATTAAAACTTTAGTTAACAGCCAGCCTTTTCATACTGTTTGAAAAATCCTTCTTGACACTATTTTTGCTGATTCTAATTTGAAATTATAATTTCTTTTAACTGAGAGTTTCTTCCCAGGCAGCTGGTGTCCTTTGTGTCAGAAGTCAAATATGAAGACACACCTCGATGTACTTACATTGTACAATTGTCAGAATAAGATGTGGATTCTAAAATTGGAGAAGTGAAAATAAGAGATTATTGTCTTCTTTGTTCCTGTCCATGATCTTTTCCATGTATTTTTCCTTTATACCATCACCAATTTGCCTCTATTTTAAAATAATTTTGTCTTATTGACAACATATGATTACTTTTGGGTTTTTTTGAAGCTCCATGGGTAAGTATAATTCCATAGTTCCCTGTTCTCCTCCTGAAATACAGTAGGAATGAGGGGGTTTTTTTCCTGAGTTTGTGCTTTTAAAACTAATCCTTACGACATTGATTTTACTTGCTTTTCAGTTTTTAAAAGTTTTCTGGAAGAGAGTGGAGAGAAGAAAGACAACATGAGAACAAGGATTGCATGTTATTTTGTTTTTCTTATGAAATAATTATGATTTCTTCTTCCAGATACTTTCTGCCAAAAAGATTTGAACAGGTATTTATCAGTAGCAAATGTAAACTCTTTGTGGATTTCATTTATGCAGGTTTAAAAAAAGACATTACAATATAAAAAATACTGAATAAAAACATGCACGTGAAGCTGCAGCATGACGGTTACGTGGAAAGTTAATGGACAATAATTAGTATTGGAGAGCTGAGAGACTGAACTAAAATCTTCCATTTTGAATTTGATGCTTAATAGCTTATTTTTGCAGTTGTTTGAGTTTTTGCAATGTTTTATTGGTTTGTGTTGTTTATCTTGCTCCCTTTGCTGAGAATGATTTCTGTTCCATCTCAGTGTTTCCTGTCATCGTGAACTATAAATATATCACTTTCCTCATAGTTTTGAAACTTAAAGGAATTCTGAAAATCCTTCATTCTCAGAGATCAAAAGCTACTGTAAAGCTGGGTAAGTCGGTTTGGCGAGAGCTATTTGAAGTACTCTCCGTTGACAATCTACTGACCAAATCTCTCGCTTGCCCGGAGTGTCTGTGAGCTCGTGAGTTAACTAATGCTACAAATTTGATCAGTATTCTTATTTTTCACCGAGGTATTACCTCTGTTTCTTCACCCTTGATTCAGTTCTCCTCTGACCAATTGTACTCAGGAAGCCGTGGATGTTTGCTGATCCCACTGATCCCAAGTGGTTTCATATTCACTCTTTTTTTTAAAGGAGTTATTCCCCCATGTTTAAATAGAAGCCAGTGGGATGAAGTCAGCAGTGCTTAAACAGGGCTACAGCCTGATGCGTTTCCTTCTAAGCTATGTTAACTTCCCATCTTCAGCTGGAACTTTGACTACAATAATTCTAAAATACAAACACACCCCCCCTGCAATAGAAGAAGGTGACACAAATTTGCATTAAAAAGGCACACTAAGTTTTGCAGTAAGCAAATGGATGAGGAGGAGAAGCCATACATAGAACTTCATACTTTGTGCCTTGTCTTGTTTGCTCTTAGTGACCTCTGAAGAGTGAAGATTGTTTAAAATACTTGGAAGCTTCTGCTATTGTAATCACTATGTTCCACTGCATTCACATTGCCCCACTTTGCTTCACTTAAGTCCATCTTTATTCCTACGCGTTATGGTCCCTGCACGTAAGCGACAAATTAGTTTTTGATAAATGCTATTAAACCCAGCAGGACAGATAAAATACAGAAAACGCAGAAGGAATTAAGGGGAAGCTCACATGAAATGAACTTCCTACACAATAATGTGTTTCCCTTGACTCTGGTGAATGCAGAACTTTGATATAATTAATATTCTTTTATATATTAATATTATTTTTACATTATGTAGCAGTTTTCAGCAGTACGTACCAAAATTATACAGAACCACCATTGACATAATGATGGTTTTCCAAGCAATGTATGAAAAACCTACCTCATTTTTGAGTGCAGTCTGCATGAAATCTGAGTTGTGTGGATTTCAGGGTAGTTCTCTGTTTATTACACTGTATTTCTGAAGTTTTATGTGACCTTAAAATGTAGTTCTTTTTTAGAAAATGCAGCTTTAAGTTAGCAAGTAAGTTTGGTTGGTAAGTTTGAAATCTGAATTGTAAATCTTCCCAATGTTGAGATGTTCTGAATTCGAATGTGCCTTTTCTTATTTTAAATGGTCGCTTGGATTCTTTCTGCTGTGTTTTAAATGTAGATGAGGAACTCATCCAAATGGTTTGGTTTTGTTTGGTTTTTTTCTTCAAATATGGCCTTCTATTGCTGGATTATATCTAATACAAATTCATATGTGGATTTAGCCAGGAGCTGGAGTCCTGGATGGTATTGCTGTATCCTGCTGCCAGGATTGTTCCTGGTAAGGATTGCAATGCAGAGGAACAAGCCCTGCCCACAGCTTGAGCTTGATTGTGCCCTCTGTTGTTTGAGAAAGTCCAGGGAACAAGAGTTTTCATTTGTGAGACAAACAAAAAACCCCTGTATGATCATTTCAGTTGTTCCAGTAAGAGCAAGATAATCTCAGGAAATGGAAGAGGAATCAGAGTAGGCTTCCTACTGCTCACCCACTTTATGCCCATCAGTCAGTTTGTCTGATGAACAAAAATGCTGTAGGAAGAGTGTGTCCTCTGAAAAATACTTATGATGTGCTTATTCCAGCTTATTTCCTTGCTTTATTTTATTTCATTTTGTTATTGGAAGAATAGGCTGACATATTCCTCTGTGGCTTATGTCTTTAGAAATATTTAGGTTAGTCCCACTGATTAAGATTTTCATATTCATACAGAATGTAATCAGCATGAAATTGCAAAAAGAAAGCCAAAAAGAAAAAATTTCACTGTTTTGGCAGTGGAAATGCAGAATAAACAACTCAAAATTTGTCTTCTATCTGTCTAAAGTACACGATGGGTTAATCATTCATTAAGTAATCATTATCTTACAAGTATGACTTACAGCTCAAGAGAAATGAAAAATAAACTAAATACCATGCTGTTATTTTTCTTTATTATTGGAAGGCATTCCATGGTGTCAGTGCATGCAGGGAATGTTGGACAAGTGTTTAAAGAGATTAAGCTACTGTTTGGGAAGGATTTTGAGAGAAAACTGGAAAAGCTATTATACAGTGTGCTACTTGATATTTTAGAAGGTTATAAAAACTTACAGAATAGGTAATGAGACTGAGTAAACAAATACTTTAATGCCAATTGAACTACGAGGGTGTTTGCCTAAATAAGAGACATGAGCTTTTAATTTTTAATACAAGTAAACTTTCTTTCAAGTACTACTTTTTATGATATAGCAACTGCAGATCATAGAAAAATCTGGCTGAAGTCAGCTTTTCAGAAGTCATCCCATTTATTCCCCACCCAGAAGAAAGGATCAACTAATACATTTATGATTAGCGTTTGTTCTGTTTTCTAAATATTTTGGTTTAGCACTTCAGTAGTTTTAATACTTCTTTTTACAGTTAGGTTTTCCTATGGCATTACATACATAGGTTTTTGGTTTAGTGTTATTAGTGCTTGGTTTGCCTCTCCATTTACTAATTGCCTGGTGTCATTATCCCTGCCTTCCACCCCCGAGCTTTCCTGCTTCCAATAAGGTTTTGAAACTGTAGATTCCTTTCTACTTTGCTGTATTTCTCTCTTGCATTTTCTAGCTTGTGCTATTCATTCCTATGAAGCTAGATCAAATCACTACAAGTTTTTGGTTGGATTTAGTGTGTTGGTGGTGGCTGGGTTTTTTGGTTTGTTTGTTTGTTTTTTAAATTAATATAAGATAAATTAAAAGCTCATAACTATCCAAGTATTTTCTAGCTTGTGCTATTCATTCCTATGAAGCTAGATCAAATCACTACAAGTTTTTGGTTGGATTTAGTGTGTTGGTGGTGGCTGGGTTTTTTGGTTTGTTTGTTTGTTTTAAGCTCATAACTATCCAAGTTTTTTTTTTCTGTTTCCATCCATGCACTCAGGAAAAGACTTGTGTTAATGAGTGCCCACTGTACCGTGGATACCTTCCCTGACGCATGAGGCGACATCGCAGTGTGACTCTCAACTACACTGTCACAAACTTTGCCTAAGTGAGTTTCTTTCAATGTAATTGTGGTTTTCTTTGTGGGTTTTTTTTTCCCTCCCCACCTTTTTTTCTTTTTCTTTTTTTTTTTTTTTTTTTTTTTAAATAGGCCAGTTCACCAGGTTCACTGCACTGCCCTGCACACACATGACAGTTTGGACATAAAAAGGGAAATTAATGGGAACCTCGGCAAACTTTACTTTGGAAGTTGGGTATCTAGTAAATGTAAATCATACTAGTAAATGTCTGACTTTTTAGACTCTATCTTGAAGGATACTTATGGAGAAGAGGAAGGTGATAAATAGAAACATCTAATTTTTTATGCTTAAAAATCTCTTGCAACAAACAAGTGAACATTTCTAGTTACGTGTAGCATCTGTTTTAGATAATAACCAGTCACTAAAAAAAAAAAAAGAAGCTTGTTTAAAATAAGTCTTTGTTGATTTTAGAAGGAAGTAAGAATTGTGGACAATGCTGTTACTCTTTTGGTATCTCCCACCCTTTACCCTCCAGCCACATCTATTTAGTAATAACTGTACTTTTGGGAGCTTAATAATGATGGAGAAGTTCTCTTCAGAAAATCATGTCTCTCCACCCATCTCTGTGGGCTCTAAGAGGAGGTATGTGATGGGCAAACCAGCAACTCTACCAAAGCAACAGAAGCCCAGGCGAAATTCCAGCCAAAGATAAGGGTAGTTCTGTGGGAATGAGACTTGTTAATGTTGGGTTTCAAAGCTAGTCCAATGTTGTACTTTATACGGTAGAGAAAGATTGATAAAGCAGTAGTATCTTGACACTAGAATTTGTACTTTCTTTATTACAATTTGATTTAGATTTGTTCAAAAAGATTTCTTGCCTTTTGACTTCCAGTGCAAGTGATGTGGAAAACAGGTTGCCGTTTGGTGCCAAAATAATGCTGGAATTGAATTCAGGGCTTGGAACTCTGGTTTATGCATTCTTGATAATGTAGGAGTTCTGATTGAGGTGTTCATTCGCAGCATTTCCAAAACTTGTTTCAGCCACTGTTTGGATCCCAGCAATTGCCATGAGATGAAAATGAAGCTGTGAAAGTGTCTGAGAAATAACAGTATATTGAAAAAAAAACAAAAAACAACAAACCCCATGGACCAATTCTTCTAATTAAAGGCTGCTTAAAAACTTGTCTCTAAAGATAAAGTGTCTGCCAATCTTGGCATTAAAATTGGGTGTTTTCTGTTTTACAGGTTTTATATTATTGGTAGCGATTATATAATGACTTCTATCCCTTAGTACTAGAGGGAATTAAATCAACTGATGTGCACTGGTAAGAGCCAGGAAGTCCCAGGTCAGCACCAGTTTGTTACAGTATTAAGGAATGTCATGGTGGGTACGTTTTTATGTCAGAAAGAGCTGCAGAGTTAAGTAGGATAACACTACTGTGTCAGGATAGTGGGGAAATAAATGCGTAACAGCCGTTATTAGACACCGTAAGTACAAAATAAATCTGTTCCCAAGAACACCATTGTGAATGACAAAGGCGAGAGAGAGAATAATCCCTTCCTAGTAGCTTTCAGCGTGGTGGGATAAGCTTCTTTCTGCCTTCGTTCTGATGTGTTTCAGGTGGAGTGGGGACTTCTATACAGAGATTGTTACCTTGGCAGAAAATTCAGGTGTCCAATCTTTATTATGTTTGGTTTGATTCGGTAAACTGCAGGAGAATTAGTACTTATGGCAGATTTGCATATTTGGTTTTGATAAAAATGTTGGTTTTACCAAATCCTCTGGAACCTTCAGGGAACTGGAAGAAAGAAAACCCCAAACAATTAGTTATATATTTCTGTTCTTCTATTTGTAATTTGTGTATGTTTCAGTTTTCAGGTGCTGCATTGTTGTGCCCAATCCATTGCCTTCTCTGGTTTCCAGAAACTGCTATGAATAAACTTGAAGCCCTCATTTTAAGTGATTAAAGCCCTGTAAAGGGCAGTGAGTTGCATGTGGAAATCTCTCTTCTGAATTAGTGATAACATGGGAAGTATCCAAAATAAGTCAGCTCATGTACTTCTGGGTTTCCAGTTCCCATGGGAATACCTCAGAAGACAAGCTATGTTATTAAGTTAACCAAACACAAATTTGCCTTACAATTTTTCCATTCATTCAAATGGGACGTGAGTAGTTTGTTTCCTAATCTGCACAATTGCCCTGGAGCTCCTGTTGCAGTGTGTCAGTACAATGACAGCTTCCCCTGAATGACAACTCACAGCTCTAGTGAAAAATGACAGGATTTGTTAACCAAGTTTGTTAAGAAAAGACTCAGTTCTTGAGTGACTCTGTTTCTCAGTGGCATCACAGTTAATCATCTCTGCATTTTGTACTACACCTTAAATATACTTATTTTGAAATGGATCTGATTGGCATGCTTAAATGGACTGGTAATGGTGTATTGCACAAAATTTTGTATAACAGAATATGCTGTAGCACTACCTACTAACATAATATTGTTGATAGCAATTAGAGGATGCTCAGACACGTCCTACATGTTCTACAATGTGATCTCGTAAAAACAAGTCAGTGGTGATGGGTCTCTGGGTTTGCAAACGTTCACCTTATGGGCAGGGTTTTGTGTCATGCCTGTTGGTGTCACTTGGGCGGTTCTGTCACTACCCTTAGTTCTAATGGAGGTCTTATTTTTCATGTAGCATAAGCCACTACTTGTCTCCCTGAGTGTCTGTTTGTATGGAACTCTGTTATATGTGATACTGCATTCTGTTTATCCTTCAGATTCTGTAATAGCGTCTTGCTTAACAGAACTGGTGATGTGAAATGGGTGTTTTACACCCATGAGCACAGGTATGGAGTCTTGGGCTGAAAGTTGACTGGGAAGCTCTTCCGTGACTTTTTTATCCTTGTGAATGGTGTAGCTAGAACTCTGAATATAAATTACTGTAAGGATTGCTATTTATTTTAAATATGAGTTTTGGACCTTGAACTTTTGTCTGTGCTATACATGGACTGTATTTAGTTTCAGCTCTTGGGATGGGGGATTGACTGTGACGTTTGTGTGGCAGGTAGCGTGAGCCTCTGTTTGTACTTGCAGGCTTAGGGGAGTTGCTGCAAAATATCTATCTAATTCCAATAATGTGATTCCCCCCCAAAATAAGGAAACTAACTCCCAGTGTAAGTGCTTTTGAACACTTACAAAATGTTCAGAAAGTCTGTAAAAATGTTCAGAAAGTTTTAAGGTGTAGTAAGGCAGAAGTCTTACTGTGCACTGCAGACATTAAAGGGACTAATGCTGTTGTGCTGATTTCATTTTTCCTTTGTTGTATAAATATATATATAGTACATAAAAAACCCATTGGAGTTGATCTGAATTGGTTCATAAAACCTTGCTGGTTTGCAAATCATAATGATATTTTAACAGCATTGCCTGGTTCTGAGTTAGTATCTGTAGGCATCTTGCATTATATTATACCTTGGAATTGCATCTGAAACTTGTGGCTGCACAATACTCTTGGGGAAACTTGGTGTTTAGGGCTAAAGGAACAGCCCATCCTCTAGGTAAGATCTCTGCTGTGACGTTCTGGTGGTGGTAACTTCTGCACCTTCTCCTTTGTTTGAATAGTGCTGATGCCTTTGCACTGCACTTCAGTGGCAGCAGGTTTTGGTTTTGACATTCCTCTTACCTTCTTCATCTTTATGGCCATTGATTTTTCTTGAGATATTCCTGCAACACCTAAAAAATTCTTCTCTAATTAATCATGCCATATATATTTGGTACCAAACCCCAGAGACTTTGAAAGGAGCATTGATTTCTAGCGAGTGTATGTATCTATACGTTTGGTTCAGTATATATAGATATCCATGGTTGGTAAAGTATATTGGTAGGTGAAGAAGGTCTCTATGAACAGGATGACTCTGAAGAAGATGATGATTTTGAATTTCTAGTAATTAAATGACAGTTAAATAATTTCATAAGCATTAAATAACCTTAATGAATAAATAGGATTTCTAATGCTAAACAGTTAATGACTATGACAATTTGTTTTCAGCAGTTGAAAGGCATTTAAAATGTTCTAGTATTTTACTCTGTTAATGCTTAAATTATATTACTTGGGATAATAATAGAACTTGTATTGCTATTACTTAAATGCCTATAAGATTTCCCACAGACATTCAGTACCAGCCACTGTGGCACAGCTGACTTTACCTCATTGCCATACTTTTCATGTGTTGGGTTAGAAAAGCTCTTATTCTGAAGACTCAGTAACCCATTTTTTAGTAGAGAAGGTTCAAAATGTTTTGCAGTCACGGATAGTATTGCCTGGGTGTTTTACATAAAGCAAAGCTGTTTATGAAATACAAGCAGAACCTATAATGTATGGCAAATAGTATTGGTGATCTTTATGGTCCCGAATTCTATTACCTGAAACTGAAGGAATGGTTTGGTTTTGTTTCTGTTTGTGATCACTAATTCACTTTTTTCCAGTGGCCAAGGTTAGGTGGTCATAAATGAATGGACCTACATCTAGTGAGCCCAGAAATTGTCAGAACTACTTTCAGAGTGTTTTTTAGAATTGCTGACATGACTGAGGCTAGATGACAAAACATCTAATATGTATCTTTTTAAGAAAAATGTCATAAACACATACTTGAGGATAATGCAAATGCATGAAATAATTGTCATCACCTACATGAAGATCAGTAGCTTTTCTGAACTAGCAGGCTTTTCCATATAAATTGCTACTTTTTACCAGTTTTCCCCATTTTTTTGGCCAAATAAATTTTATAATGGCCATAAATGGAAAGTGTGATGTGTCTGCTTAAGCATTACAATATTCACAGAGGGCATTTTCTTGTTGCTCTATTTAATTGAAATCAATGACGATTTTACTTGAAAAAAATGTTTTATAGCACTGTCAGTTGAAAGAAATGCTGTTTCCTTCCAAATGTGTGGAATCGGACGCACGTGGATTGTCAGCATGTGTGTGGCTGGAATTTTATGACCATAATACTACCTTTTGCCATGTCTATCTGAAATGGAGATCTGCATCTGTTATCCTGGCGGAGCGGGATAAGAGGCTGTCAATGGCACAGTAACGTTGGAGCAGAAACGTCACAGTCAGTGTATTCTGTTCTGATAACAGCTCTATCACATCACAGGGACTTGTCAGGAGAAAGGTGTCCATGTCAGTATAAAAGAAGGGTCAAACAGTATTACCAAAACCACTCCACACTTCAAAAAAAATATTATAACAGTTTGAAAGTTTTTTGTTATGAGTCGGAAAGTATTTCCTCTCTTGCTCATGTAGAGGGGGAAGAATGAAGATAAATCTTGTAAACATGAAAATTACTAAGGATTCCAGGCCAAGATGGATTAACTGCCAGGGAACTATTTCATATCATACTTGGGAAGTTGATTTAGGATCCAAAACAAGTTCTGGGAAATGTCTGCATTTCACCCGACACGCTGATGTCCCACACTTAATGAAAGTAGCATTTCTAGTACATCAGTACACTAAATCAATACACATTCACATGAGGAATTCAATTACTTCCATACCCGCTGTGTACGGCCTGCCCTGTGCACGTCTGGATGCCTCCTTACTCTTGTTGCTCCTGTTACGTGGAGAAGCAGTTCTCATTTGGCTTTTCTGTAGCCAGCAGTAATTTAACAGATAGTAGCTGGCAGCATTTGAAAATGCATTTATTTCTCTAGATCTCTTACTCCAACTCTTTCTCCTTAGCTTCAGCAGAATGATCAGGATGCCAAATTTGGCCTCAGACAGGGCCATCTTTTTTTGTTAGAAACCTGACTGTTACTTCAGTGTATTTGTAAGGATGCTCCTAATATAGACTATCTTCCTCCCTTTCCTGGCTTTCCTTCTTTTGCTAGCCTATGATTTAACTCCATAGCAAGCAGTTGGTCATCCTGTATACTGTAAATAGTTATACAAAATAATGGAAGAGTTGCCATTTTACTGCTGATAGTGAAAAACATCTTTCTATGAAACGCCAGGAAAAAAACGTATTTTCTTTTGTCACTCAGCTTTCTCATTGAGTGCCTTATGGAAGTAAAGTCTGAATGTTTGGGTGTGGGACACCCTATGTTTGGTAATCGTAGGACTGGGCCCAGCACCAGGGTAGCAGTTTATTCCTACATGTGATTATTCCAAACTTGTTCCATTAAAATACGTAATGCAGCTGTTGATGTGCTAACAAGAGAAATAGCAGCTGCAGGCTGTCCCTTCCGTGCTGCTTTGTGCACAGCCAGTCCATGTGGGTGTGGTATTACGGCCTCACTGGCAGATGCTTGGGATGACTTCAGTGTTCACAACTGGCAAATCCCCAAATGAATTGTGGAGGTCACCTCAAATGAGTTACATTTCTTGAAATAAGTTTCTGTAAAAATCTCCAGTGGCTCGGTGGCATCTTCTGAGCAGCCAGGGTAGTGCCTGGCAGTACTTGTCTGGTATAAACATGTCGAGAGTGTCCTAGGTAAGGCCTGATTAGATGTGATGAGTAACAGAGAACACACTTTGTTTTTAAGCTGCATATGCTTTTTGATTTTCCCTGTAAGAAGAAATACATGAATGTACTTACACACAGCTCATTGGATTACAACTTCAATGGTATTTTAATATTTGTGTCACTTTAACTGAAGGTGTCATCACCGAAGTAGTGGGACTAGTAAGCACACTAGTTAATGATGCATAGCTTTCTGGCTTGGCTGGAGAGATTTCACTGCTCCTGGATGAGTACAGTTCTAGTGACTTTTTATGGCCAGCTGATAATAAGTAGAACATTGCCACCTTTTGGTCATAAAGAAAAGGCATACGGTTAAAGAAGCAGCATTATGCATGTTGGGGATGCTGCAGCAATACCACTGAATAGTATAATCATTTGCAATGTAACTGCTCCGTAATGGTAGCCCAGTTCAGTGGAGGTTGTAGGCATCGTTTGCTTTGATTGTGTGTATTTCATACCACGGTGATGTGTTTAGAGAGAATATATTATGCTACATACTAATTAGGTTTTCCTGAGGACTGAATTACATATGCATTGTGAAGATGGTATGAAAGCTACCATGGTTACCATTGTGCACCCAGCAACTTATTTTATACAGTGCCAATTAATCTGAGGTAATGCTTGAGAGAGAAGAACATAGAATAAGGAATGCTAATGTCTCAGCTGAAAGATGGAAATTAGATAGAAAAGCACAGCTTTTATTGAAGATTATATGTCAGGGTCAGCATTTATAAACGAATCCACCTGTAAGACTAAAACCAACAGTTCTGTCTTACATAAAAAAAGGTATCTCTCTAGGCCTGATGGGCATACAGGACCCACTGCTGCTTTAGCAAGGATATTCTCTGAATATGAATTTTTTCCCTTCTCGTGATTTTAATGCCATATTCCTGCAGTTCAGGCTATAATTGGGGATTATTACTATGTCAGAAAGAGGGTGCAGTTTCATGATGCAAAGATATCTAAACCCATCTAAGCGCAGGTTACAGTTGCTAGGGACAGAACTTACATCTCTGGCCAAAGACTTCTAGATGGCAAGAACTGATTTAACTCCTTCCTCTTCCCAACAGCTCAGTGTTGCTCAGGTTATGTTGCTGACGTGGCTTCTTAGTCAGCTTGTCCCCTCAGTGTGAGGTGTATGGCAAAATTCATGTGCCAGCCATACACAACGTATGGTTATAACTCTTACGTCACTTTTGCATTGGGACAAATCATTTTAGTAGATGAAGAGAAACCATTTGAGAGCCTTCAGATCCAAATTCCTCCCCCCCAGTTCTGAACCCAAACCACTGCTGTTGCAATTTCTATATGAGAACTATGAGGAAGGGTCAAGTGAAGACACTGGATAAGCTCCTGATAGAATTGCAAATTTCCTGCTTGAATGTTTTGATTAGATTCCCGAAAATTTCCTGCTTCAATGTTTTGATTAGATTCCCTGTACCTATTTATAGCAAAGCAGCACAAAAAGCATGAGGACTATGCAGAACAGTGCTGTGCAGTGTCTCTGCCACGCCTCTGGATGCTTTTTTTTTCCTGGCATAGCAGTCTTGGAGAGTTTTGCTGTGGATTCTGGCTGCAGCAGCTCTAAGTACCTAGCAACAAAGATCTAACAGCTCTAATGAAGCATATCACTTAAAGAATAACAGTATTAACATTTTATAGCTGTTTCAGGATAGGAAGGTGCAGACAAACATTGACATGAGTTTAAAAATCCTTTCAATCCTTAAATTTTATTATTGTGCAAAATTGTATGCAACATTGAATGCTAAACATTAAATCTTTAGAAGAAATTCTACCATTTCTTTTGATTTACCAACACACATGAACAGTTGGATTCAAGCTAAGTTTCTACTGAAACAGCTGAGGGAATCTTGTCTGCCCCATTCTGCTGGCTGAGCAACATCACCTTCTATGGGGCTGGCAATTTTTGGCAAAGGAGTGATGGTAACAAACAGTCGGGAGGCAGTACCTTTGGCCTCCACAGAAGTTCCAGCAGTTAATAGTTGCCCAAGGCAGAAGATTTGATGCTTAAGTGATGGAATGTTTAACTTCAAAACTAGAAAACAAACTACTAAAATGCATATGCGCCTTTTCCAAGTCTTACTTGTTAAAACAGTTCATTGGCTGACATGACTTGGAACTATAGTATTACTATTTTTCATTAAAAACTGATTTGCTGTACATAGTAAAGCGCTTCAACAAAAGTAAAATTAAAGCATTTTAAACAAAATTATTTAATAAAAGAAAATAATGTTTCAGTAACTTTTCGCTCTTTAGTGGTAGTCACTTTTAAACTGTTTCTACAACGTTCTTAATACTCCAGTAGTTGGACTGAAGATGCTTAACTCTGTAGGATTAATCACTGGATGACTTTTATAATATTATATAATTAATATTTCTCTTGCAGTGCTTTGAAGTGTAATATAGTTGGGAGTGTGTTTGCGAGTTGTAAATCAGATCTATTTCTTGCCTGCTTACCTCGTACTTCAACAGAGCCTTGAAATTCATGTACATCCTTCTTTTGTTTCTAAAACCATGACTTAATATTTTTTCCAAAGCCTCTGATCAGAAGTAATTGTTCACTCAAGGGGTATAACAGAGAAAAGCTGCAATGATTCATGACAGTAAAACACAATTAAGTTTATTACAAAAATCGTTATACATCATACACACTTTTTCTTTTTTATATGAGGAAACTCTCTTCTAAGGTATTTTCAGAAGAAATTTCAGGTTACTAGCCAAATATTTTGGAAAATGATTAGTTGCTGATTCAGATCCTATGTATTCATCTTTGTGTTGAATGAAAAGAGCTGCACGAATTTGTAACAAAGAATCAAGGACATGTCTTCATTTCTGCTGAAGCAAGTTCACATTTAATCATCAAGTTCTTGGCAAAAATATTTCTGCAACCTGTGTCAATGGAATACATACAAATTTAGAAAGGAAGTTTATGTAATTATCTCATTATCTAATTTCAATAATAAAATAATTGACTGTCTAAATGGAAATAGTAGATGAATAATTATGCATAGAAACCTTAGCTTTTAATTCTGATGAAATCTGCTTGTTCTCTGAACTTGTCTTCCTTGGTAAAATGGTTGCTTTCTATTAGTTTTTGTTATAATGCTTCAAGTTAAGTCTTTTCATTTTCTGTGGGGGAGGAAAAAAAAAATCATATAAAATCCTTTTGCAGGTTTCTCTTTAGCTCTAGCAGCAGAAACAGCTGACTTGTGAAGAAAGCACTGTACCTGACGGCCTAAACAACCGAGGGCTCCAGGTAGGTCAGTTGCTGCCGTTGCTCGTAGGGCTGGAAATGGTGGTTTTGGTAGCAACATATTTCAGATACTGATACATCAGGCAAGGTGGTTATGAAGTTCTTCAGAGCATCTGGTTCTTTGGATGGGTGGACACACAGATGGGGAAGTTCTGAGTGACTGAACATTACTGAGGTTATTCAGCAAGCTGGCACAAATTTGTTTCTCCTCTAGGAAGCCTGCAGTAGAGCTGTAGGCCATTACAACTGAAAACCTGGAACTAAAAGGACAGAAGGTAATAGGGGAATACAAGGAAAACTATATTAATTAATATTATTTTTAGGAGGTTACCTTTTAAATTAAAATTCTAAGATGAAGCTCATGCATTAAGAAAAAGTAGGAAATGGTATAAAAGCAGCTTCATTTACAATCCAAATGAAAGAACATAAAATGTTTCTTTTTGCAATTTATGATACTTCTATGAATTAGGACTCTTATCTTACAAATACAAAAGATTACAATGAGACCAACAAAACAATTGTAGCTAACTTGATAATAGCTGTCACAGGATAGTGTCTGCTAAATTATATTCAAATAAATGAAATGTTGAATTACTTACCTGTTGAATACCACACTGAATTATGCTTTTGAAGAAGGGTATCCATTGCTTCTAATGGTGTTAGTTCATCCCTCCCACCCCTTCTGCTTTACCAAGTTATAAATGCCCTGATTTCTGGCAACTTTAGGTTTTGTACTTAAGCTGTATAATTTAGCATAGTAAATAGCTGAGACTGGCAAGCAGTGTGCAACTGATAGCATATCCAGCAATTTCTTTTATATTTGGAGGTAATTGTAAGCACAGAATAAAACTGATTATTTCAGCATATGTAGCAATAGTCACAAAAGTTGGGTTTAATTTTAGATTTTGTCTATAGTCAATTGAAAGAGGGTGGTACTCTGTATTAACCTCTACTGAGGATGGAAGAAGCCAAAAACTACCATGACTACATTTATAAAACATTCCCTTTAATCTCTGTTTTGTAGCATATTGTGCAAGTGGAAAACAAGTTGGATTTGTATATCGCCTGCAAGCTCATTGCTTCACTGTTGAGTATTTTATTTATCCATTCTACATGAATGATGCTGTTTGTTGTCAAGTTTGACTGGTAAGACTTTTTACAAGGTCTTTTAAGGCATAACTCCATTTGGAATAACTTTAAGGTTATCCTGTCCTTAAGGCAGAAGTAGTAAGACTCTCTCCTCTTGTCGTTGAGGCGTATGTAATGTAGAGGAAGACAGTGTTCCCAGTGAACTAAATTCTTCAGCGTGGAAGAAAAAGAGAGTCCCAGTGAGCAGACTTTTGCTCATTTGCTCCCTGCAGAGAAATGACATTTGTTCTCTACAGCATTTTCTCTTGAGAGGACCAGTTATTGGCTTATGTCACAAGCAGTCTACCGTTCCTCGGTGATATATTCCTTAAGGCATACATGGATCACTTTCAATACTCAGTGATCCAAATTCAACTCCTATTGATTGTATGAATGTGCTGGGGCTGTGAGAACAGAAATTGTACTTGTGTATGTGTTAAAGTTCATCTGGTTTTCTTTCTGACAAAGTGCTTCCAGGTGTTTCTTCCACTATATGTTGTGTTTGTGTATGTTCATATATACATACATATGCTTATATGCATAAAAGGCTTCACTGGCCTTCTACTATTAATTGGCTGGTCCTAATTCTACTCAGCCCCCTGCCACTGATACGGACTTACTGAGTCTGTCTAGAGAATCCTTTACCCACTACAGCTGGTTTGAGGGTAAGTAACAGGCAATATACATAAATAATACACAATATTGCTAACTTTTTTGTTGGTCTGAGGATGATTAAAGCCAGAAAATTCAAGACGCGTTGAGGGAAAAAAATTACAATGACAAAGTACTGTAAAATTTTATGGAAAGCATATGGTATCTCCACACATCCCTTATAGTCTCTATTATTGGAGTTCATTTGAGACATTAAGTCCTTAATTCTTTTTTTCTCTCCATCTCTCTCAGGAAAGGTTTAGGTTCTTATGCTCTATTTTTGAAGGAGCATTTGCTGAGAATAACTGTATAAGAATCCGGTAAAATAATTAAATGGTAACTATCAGGGTGAGCAAGTCTCATTAATGTGCCGGTGCTGTGCAGCTGAATGTCAGGAACACGTACGGTACGATCCAGTCAGTGAGAAGTCAACAGTGACTGGAACTAACATTTTTATTATTGAGGTACTTCTGTATGGTTTTGCCAGAACTGAGCATGAGGGGGGAAAAATAAATAAATTTGAAAACAATCTCAGTCAGAGAATGGGGAAATAACCCACTTATGAACTTACTCCAGCCTGGACTCATGGCTTTTTTAGCCTTCCTGGTTAAACAGATTAAGCCAACTGTTCTGCTGCTTTACACAGTACATTAAACACCTTAATCATACTGTCCTCTCTTGCATTAATAAATTTAGCATTTGTATTCCTGAAGCAGCTGGTTTTTTCTCTTGCTCTATTTTAGTTCTTCTTCAGAATACAAATTCCAGCTCATTTCCATTTTTTCCAGACCTAAGACTTTAGAAGTTTTGTTTTCCTGGTTGTTATTTTAACCCTCTGGACCAAAAATTGAATGCTTTGAGAACCACCGCTATATTTTTTTCCAATAAATATTCCCTTTGTTGTTAAAATATTTCCCAGTATTCTGATGAACATCCTTCTAGAAGGAGGGTATTCTGGGGTAATATATTTGAGACAGAAGAGCTTGTTCCTCTTCTTGAATTTTATTTGGAATTAATTGCTTTCATGCAGAACTAATTGCTGTATTTTCACAGGTAAGTACTCATTCTGGATGCATTTCAGTTTTTACACATCAAAGAATAAGATACACCATAGAGATGGAACTTTTAAGATGGAAATTAATGGGTCTATGCTTTGTCCTTCTGAGAACCTCAGATGCAAAATATCATGAATTTGGCAGTTTGGAGTTTTGGTTATAGTTGCAGTTACTGATCAATCCCAGCCCTAGCTGTTGAGCTGACTGCTGTACAGTCATCTGCTGCTCTTTTTTCAAATCTGAAAAAGATTCCTTTAAAGGAAATTGGGCTTAGATCAAGTGATTTAAAAGTAATATTGTTTATCAAGACAGAGTGGAGTTAATTTTTTTCGTAGCAACCCATATAGTGCCATGTTTTGAATTTGTGACCAGAACAGTGTTGATAACCCACTAATGTGTTAGGAACTGGCAAACTGTCCTTACCTGGCTTCAGGGCCTTCCCTGTTTCTCTCCCTGCCCCACCAGCGAGGGGGCTGGGGGTGCACAAGGAGGTGGGAGGTGACACAGCCAGGACAGCTGACCCCCACTTACCAAAGGGCCATCCCATACCACATGACAGCTGCTCAGCAATAAAAGCTCGAGGCAAGGAGGAGGAAGGGGCGACATTAAGAGTTATGGCTTTTGTCTTCCTGAGTAACTGTTCCTTGTGATGGAGCAGAACAGCAGATTGGGAAGTCTCATCTGATCCATCTGAAAATGCCATTGTCTTCCCGAGTAACTGTTCCTTGTGATGGAGCAGAACAGCAGATTGGGAAGTCTCATCTGATCCATCTGAAAATGCCATTGCAAGCATCCTTGTGACAGGCTCCTGTTGAGACCCACACAGTGACCAACCATCCTGCTAAAGAGATTTGGTTCCACCATGTAAGTTTTAACAAATAGCAAGATGATAATTAGTTTTATTATGATGATTTAAATAAATGGTCTCTGCGTAACAAGGCTAACTCTAGGATGAAGCTGGGGTACCATGTAACACGTTAGAGATTCATTTTGCAGTACTTCTTTGCTTTAACCTCCTATAGAAGTAAACTGCTAACTAGACCTTAAGATTTTGCATCTCTTACGTGCATGCTACTGTGAATGGGATGTGGCAATGTCTGAAAGTGCAGTATATCTTAAAACAGGAGGGAGCAATTTAGAAAGAATTGCTTGTAGCTTTTTGTTTTAAACACAGCCTTCCTGGGAGTTTTGCATACTATTGTCAGGCCAAAACATCATTTTAACACTGTAGGAATTAACATAACACATTCCACAAAGACTCAAGGAAGCTGTCTAAAGTTCTAACATTAGTAATGCTTGAGAAAAAACTTCAGCGAACACTGCAGGATACTGCAAATTGCAGCACTGGAATCTATTTTATTTTAGCTGACTACCATCACTAGATGGTTAGTTATTTTTCCTCAGATCCTGCCTTTGTGTACTACACAAAGGAAAGCGTATGTTTTGTTTTATTGCCTTTACTGTGCCAGCAAACATGCAGAATAAGAATGACTGATGTTCTGTGAGATTTCTTATCTTTCATGATATGATTTCTTTAACAGCCATTCTTACTCTTCTGCCTACATATTCTTGGTGCTGAATGCAATTCATCATTTCACATCTTTTTTCTTACTGCCATTCTCTGTTTTCTACTTTTTCAGGCTTAGAGGACAGGGAAATTGTTGTAACAAACATTGTTAAAAAAAGGAAAGGCAAAATGAGAGCTTTAATTATTCTTAATGCAGAGCTATTTTATCACAGCAGAAATTATCAAATCTTTAATAGAAACCTACATTTTCTTTTACTGGGTCATTTTTAAGGAAAGCCTTGGGTCTGAGTGTCTTTCTCCCCTTCTCTTCCCCCCACTCCAAGGAAAAAAAAAAAAAGAGGGGGGCACCTGCATGAATATGACATGGAGAAGACCGTAGTCTTATCCAAGAAGGATCATACTTGTGGGCTGGCTTGTTATTTCATTCTGCTTGTTAATTCCTTGTTTCCTATGCTGAGAATTCCCCTAAGGATGACAGTTACAGGGGTAAGGTTTTGATGCCAGCTGTAGACTGGACAACTGGACTTCCTCCATCAAACTTACTTTGCAGTAAGCTGCTTCGTAACCATAATTTCATAGTAGGTGTCACTTTGCACTGAATTTTGCTATTGATAAAAAGGTGAAGGCATTTTAATTGTATGATACATAAATATAATGGGACTGAATAGACGCAGAGATTGTTACGGAGGGAGAGTGACAGTGGTTTTTTTTAACCCGAGGAGGTTAAAAAGCCCAACTTCCAATTATGAAGTTGCTTTAGTGCCTTAGGAGGTCAGTACCTATATAAAGAAGCTGCAGCAAAGGGTGGCAATGAAAAGGAATGAGTTGAAGTGATTTTTATAGGAGTCACACAGCAGGTCAGTAGTAGAGCGAGGAATAAATTTCAAGTCTCGTGAGT